CCCTGAGAATACAAGTATTTTGAAAAGCGTCAACATATGAAATGTTGGTGAGTTCATAAGTAATGTTTGAAATCCAATGTTTTGTATTGTTTGAAAACCACCAGAAAATCCGATATTTTCTGAAAATAGTATAGTCAAAAAGGTGTGAAGATCCATAGGTATGCTTGTTTGTTTCTATACTTGTAAAAATTGTTCATTAAAATTGTATGCATTCCGAATCCGTATGTATTGAAATACCCTAGGAAAACCCGATGTTTTCCTAATTCTTTGAATTACATGAATTTACATTGAAACCATTGCAACGCGTGAAGTTATCAATACCAGGCGACGTTGGATTATTTTTAGCATGATTATTTGCTACAAACACGCGTTACACAAACGACTAGTCTATAGCAATACTAACGATCCCGTAGGCGTCGTCCGTACTAATCACGTTATCCAACCGCCCTGACTACGTGTAGTCCCACATCCGAAGAGAAAGAGGACACGAAGGCCTCGATGACTCCATTAGCCGGTTGGGGATAAAAAGGTACGAGGGGTCCCAGACCCGCCTCGCATAAAAAGGTAGACTCTACTAGCAATACCAAAGGACCCTTGGGGACCAGTAGTATACAAGCCATTGAAAGTCCTTTTACGTTGTGTCGGATCGGTAAAACCCAACACTTCGTAAGATAGAGGTCTTCGGGCCTTAAGATCAGGTCATTGGGCTAGCTAGGCTCAACAAACAAGATTTTACACTTTTGGGGCCCAAAGATGGTGCGTAGACGTCTGTGCACACTCGCATGTATATTGAATTCCCAAACGTTATTAGTATGAATCGTAGTGTCGTAGTGTCATAGTGTCGTCGTGTTAGTAGTTTCGGATTTTTATTGGTTCGAGACCGAACCAATTCGTTTAACAACGACTTTTGGTGTTGTAATGTATTGTATTTCATCGATAGTCGCGGTGCCATCATTTGGTCAAATTGCATGTATTGAATTAGCCTTGAAAGTTTTCTGTTTTCAGCCCCTCATTGTTTGTAAAATTTACTTTTTCAACCCTTTATTTAAATACTTTCCGGTTTGGTCCTTAAATCAATTTTCTTGACATTTTAACACCAAAATTATTGAAATTAATATTTTTCAGCATATTTTTCATAGAAAACAGCTTAAGTCCCTGAAATTCAGTTTTCTCGGTTATAACCCTTCTTTTTCGCAATTTTGACAATTTTGGCCCAAATTGTAAAATTTTGCAACTTTGGTCCTTTTTAAATTTAAAAAGCATTTTAAACCTTTGAAAAGGACTTGGAACACTTATAGTCCACTGTTTTACAGAAAAACACAGTTTTGGCCCTCCAAAACAGAAAATTTCGCATAATGGGCCTCATTGGGCCGAAAATGTCATTTTTAGCCCATTAAGCTTGAAATTTATGTTTTTAATTCTCTAAATGAGTATATTTCCAGAAATGGTTTTATTGAAACTGTTTTGACACACCTTATCCATCAGAATTCGTGATATGTCAATTTGGGCCCTTAATTTTGTATTTTTCACATTTTAGGTCCAAAAATTGTGTTTTTAGCCCAAAGAAATTATTACTAAACCACTTAGCTATTTTTCTAGAAACACTTAGTATGTAGAAATATAGTAGAGGCTAAAATCATTTAACATAAGGTATATCTCGGTTTTGAGGGGTTTTATGGCTAAATCCAACATTATAACTCACAAAAGCACACATATAAGCATGGAAATCATACAAAGCATACAAAACACATATAGATCTACACTTTCACTTGTATTCCCCCCCCCCCCCCCAAAAAAAAAAAACTCATAAAAACATAAAATAGGGGGTATGAAGCTCACCTTAGGTGTTGATTCGGTTTTTGAAGAAAGAATGGAAGAAATGAAGTGATGTTTCACTCTAGCACCCTTTGATGATGAATTCGAGTTTATGGAGTTCTAAGACACAAGTTTATGATTTCATGAGAGTTAAGAGGAGATTTTTGAAGACAACAAAGAGTCCAAAGCATGGATCCAAGCATTAACTTACCTAGATAATGATTTTGGTGATGGATTCTCCTTGTGAAGCTCTTGATTCACAAAAATTTTGAAGGAGGAGGGAGGAATGCTCTTCAAGACTTAGAGAGATTGGAATTGAATTTTTGTGATGTGTGTGTATCCTCGGCCGAGAGTGAGAGGGAGGAAGAAGAGATGACCTTTGAAGTGATATGCATGGAGATATGGGATAAGTTGCATGGATATCCAAAAGACAATAATGAAGTGGCAAAACAAAGTCAACTCTCATCCTTTTCTTGGGTTTGGGCCTTGGGCCGAGATTTTTGGAAGGGAAAAGGAAAATTTTGGGCCCTTGCTTCTAAGCCCAGTGTTAGAGTTAATTTGGGTATGTTTTAAGTCTAAAAGAATGTGGTAGGATTTTTATATTTTTATTGGACTAGTTTAGGTTATTCATGTATCAAGGCTTTTAATTCACTTCATTCTAGGCCCAACATGGCCTAAAATGTTGAAATAAATTAGTGTGGGTCCAATTAGAGCCCAATTAGGGTTCTAAGCCCATGATAGTCTAATTGGAAGCTTATTGGTCCATTTGGATCCAATAAGGAAGTCCTAGTCCAAAATGGACTTAAACAAGGACTTCTAGGGTCTCCAATTGTTTGATGACTATTTGTAGTACTTGTATGATGCCTTTGATTGGAGTTTTTGATGTCATAATAGTAGGTGTCAATCATGTTCTTAAGTTTTGGATTCACATTAACTTGAGTGTATAGATTACATAACACAAAATTTCCAGTTGTGACAATAATGGTGGGTGTCACATCCAACCATTAAAACTATACCTACCATTAACACTCCACTCCACATTATTTTTTTTATTTTTAATTAAAAAATACAATAAAAACATAAAAAAAAAAAATTAGTTTTTCATTCAATAAAAAACATTACATTAATTAAAAAAAAAACTACATTACTTTAAAAAAAACTAGAATAAAAAAAAACTAATCCAAGTTCATGTTTCGTTGGTATAAATGCTCCACGACATCTTCTAGAAGGTGGAAACACATTTCGCTGTTATGAAGATCACCAACTCAGGCTAAAAATTTAGTCGTTCTGGGTTCAAACTCTTCAATCGGGATAACTACATTGTCCGGATCATACATGCAAATAGTTCTACCTTCAATTTCAATAATTATATCATGCATTGTAATACATACATTTACCATTCGTTTATTTATATCTTTATCCTAGATTCGTATAGTGTATTTCACTACATGTCATGTCTGCTTGAGGACTTAAAGTGTCATCTCGATATCCTTTCTCGCTGATTCATGCCTTTTTGTGAACAAATTTGTCTTTTCACTTTGAGGAACAAAGTATGCTTCATAAATATAGAATAATCAGGGTATATCCCATCACAAAGGTAGTAACCATATTTTTATGAATGTTCGTTCACCGTGAAAGACATATCAGGTGATTTTCCAATCCAAATATCGTTGAAAATAAGATATTGGCCAAGAACAGTAATGTCGTTAAACCACGCAACTCCAAAGAACGAATGTCATATCCACAAATCCTGAGATGCAACAGCTTTTAGTATTATACTTGGCACACCTATATCATCTCGGGTAAATTGACCGCGCCACGCAGTTGGACATTTTTTTTACCTCGTGACATGCGTACAATTAAGACTATCAAACATTCCTGGAAATTCATGACTATCTTCCTGAGCCAATTATAATATATCAATATCACGTGTAGTAGGTTTACGTAAATATTCTTTGTGATAAACCTCATACACACATGTACAAAACCAATCTACCCAATCAATTACGGTCATCACATATACTTTCAAGTATTTATCAGATGCATCGAAGTATATACTGTATCTCAAATATGTAAGCGCAACCACACATTTTTGTATACTACTAAAACTCATTATTCCTCAAGCAAATAGTTTTTTGTAGGGTTTCGGGTTAAAACATTACAAATACGTAAAAATATAACCTTATTAGATGGAAACGACGTTCAAACGAGTCATCATTATAAAGACAATTATCGGCAAAGTAATTTCGTATCAATAAGTCACGTATAGCTTGACGATCTCGATTCACAACTGCTCTTGAATACATAACATTCACAACTGCTCTTGAATACATAAATTCTTCGTCATCATCCGAATCGAAATTCTTAAAGGAATCCATAAATATGAGTTTTTTTAGCAAGTATAAAAGAGATGGATGGTTTGGATGTAAAAGTTTATGTGAATATTGTGTTTATATAGGTACGGTTTATATGTTCAAAAAAAAATTCAGGGGGTCAACGGCTAGTCAACGGGTCAAATGAGTAATTTGTTACTCGTTAAACGAACTATCCAAGACCACGAATGGTCAGGATGATGTGCACAGACAACGTTCGTGATCACGTAGACCACGGGCCCATTCATTATAAATATTATAGACGGTCTAAGCATATCCATCGAACATCATAAATATCTGTTTCCAAAATAAAACCATTGAAAGATTCCACCACACCTGCATTGAAATCCGACCCCAAACCTTTCAATTGGATGTCTAACAATATTGAAATCATCCCCCACCAAGATCACCTCACCATCGAATCTAGACATCATGCCTTGTAACATCTGCCAAAAGGTGTTACATAGAACCCAATACCAAGCTTTTCTAGTAATATGGTCCCCAAGACATAACAAGTTTAACCTAATTGACACTTTTAGTCCCTCTTTCTTTATTTTCTATTTAAGATCAAGATTATTTCCCTAATCCACAACTCTTATTAAATATTATTATAATCCTTTGCTTATTAATTCTTAACCTTTCAACTATTTAATTAACTTTCATTTATAAAAAAATTAAACAGAAACCTCTTGGTAATGTTAAAACATCTTAGCAGATTACTTGATTAATTCCTATAACTTATTAACCATTTAACATTGTAAAAAAAAAAAAAAAAAAAAAAAAAAAAAAAAAAAAAAGTTACAATTATATGAATGGTGTGAAATGCTTACAACTAATTTTATATACCCAAAATTGAATAAGTTATGTCAATGGTCAAACCGCATAAGCAGCTTTACAGTCTGGTATACATCGCCCTTTTGACTGTATAATGGAACCGATCGTATGCCTTTACTAATCTCCCTAACTGGTATGCATGTTTGTCCTGCAAAATCATCTTTTTCTGACATATCATATTCATGAACTTCGACCCGAATCAGAGCTAAATCCGGAACTCTTAACGGGAACTCAAATTCTTCATTCCACGTTGGGTTCCAGCTGTCCTCAACTGTTTTTGATTTTTTCATTTCCGTATCCGCAGGTATTCCCGCAATTCCAACCTGCAATCCATATAAAAATATTTAAAAATTTTAAATTATATGAAGGTAATTAATGGTCTACCTTTGCGTAGAAATCTGGAGGAGAGTAAGCGTCAAAATGTGATTGTTTAAAATCATAATACCATCCTTCACCCATGTAAAGAGTTATCTGAAGTGTAATAAACATCAACACCTGATAAGCACTTTTTTTTTTTTTTTTTACCAATAATAATAATAGTGACTTGCCTTTAAGGTCATTTTAACAGGTAATTCCACCCTTGGATCAAAAACCTCATCACCTCCCTTCAACAAAAGTTGAGGCTTTTTGACATATCCACATCCCCCATTACCCCTAAACATTCCTTGCATCAACCATAATGACCTTCCATAACCCTGTTATTATATTATAAGGACATAAAAAAAAAAAAATCTATTTCAAACTTCATATAGAAAAAGTTTCAAAGTCTAACTTGCATATTGAATGCAACCATCTGAGCTCCATGCATCCAACCGATCAATGGGTTGTAATTAGATGAGTCGAATCGTATTCCTTTAGGGTACACCCTCAAAATATTTCTTTGTGTGAATCTAAAACAACCCAAATGTTGTTGTTATTATACTACACAATAATAATAAGAATAACTTTATAATTTTGAACGATGGAATACCTGACAATCTGTGGGGCGTGAGTTTTTGCTGCTTTTTCAAGCTCTTGTTCACTTAAACTAAGACGACGTACTTTAGTGGGGTCCACTTTTAACCAATCATCCAAACCACCTTTTCCTTTTCCAGCATGGATGGCTATCAAACTTTTATATTCAGGAGCTGCATTGTCATCATCTTCATCATCCGAATCATCATCATCATCTGAATCATCCTGGGAGGATGTACAATGTTAGTCATCAACAAAGACAAATTACCATAATACCCCTTAAGGTGTTCAAAGGTTGGTTTTATGTTAGCCACCTAGCAGACCACTGTGTATCTGATATACATCTTATGTCAGCCTTCTGGCAGACCACTGTGTATTTGATTTACATCTTATGTCAGCCACCTGGCAGACAGACCACTGTGTATCTGATTTACATCTTATGTCAGCCACCTGGTAGACCACTGATTTACATCTTATGTCAACCACCTTGCAAACTATTGTGTATCTGATATACATCTTATGTCAAGGGTTGTTGGGAGAATAAACAGATATTTTAGGTTTTACCTTCCTAATAATTAACTTTAATTGGGAAAAAAAAAAGGTAATTTACATTAATGTACCTTATCATCAGAGCTTGCAATTTCTCCACCCCAAGCTTCTGCATCTTTCTCCTTTGATCCATTTCCCTTTGGCTTAGTTTCCTTAGCTTTAAGGTACTCTTTTGGTGGTTTAGTAGATATAATAAACCTTTTCTTAAGAGATTCAGGTGAGGGGAATTCCTCTAAACATTCTTTCTCAGGAGTAAACAATGTGTCTCCATATATATCATGAACCATCTACACTTTTAGTCATACAAAGATTAAATTGAAATCAAGAGCATCATCACTTCATCATAACTTAAATTCTAATTTTTATTTTCCAACAAAATGATAAAGACTAAAGTTACCTCTGCGACTTTAGCTTGAAGATCTGTGGTAAGGTGGTCTTCTAAAGTGATTACAACAGGGTATTCGGATGCAGAGAATGCATGATTTTTAATAGACTTTAAACATGTGCGAAGTTCAACAGGAGTTGTCAATGTCCTAAAGATCATAACAAAAACAGTTAATGAAAATATTTACATTCACATCCGACATTATAAGAAAGAAAATTTTGTTAATTTCTTACCCTCCATGAAGAACATCCACATCATCATTTGTTGAATTAGGCCATATATCTAACTCAATGACTCTTACACCTCTCTCCAAAGCTTGAATGATGGGAACATCACTACAGTCACTATTGAGTTGATTCCCAGTTAGATATGAGTTGTGGCCAGTGTAAATATAATAATGAGACAATGGAGCTGTCATATCTTGGTGAGCCTGAGATAAAAAGATGATCAAATATGATTATTAACTAACTATCTTTCTCATGAAACTTGAAAGTTGATCACAGAGGATCAAAAGATGATTTATGGTATAATGATATGAGGAATGCATGTTTGAGCATTGATTCCATGGTAAAATAATGAATAGTTGAATACCATACTTTTACATATAAACTACTATGTTCTTAAGCAGATTATGTATTTGCAGATTTCTAGAGTGTATAGATTCTTTATGCAAAGAATTACTAATCATTGGATGATTGGGTTTTAAAGCAAATTCATAAGCACGGAAAGAAACTACGTTACTGCTATAACAAAGTTCTGATTTCTGAGGACTCGGGATACTCAATTAAGCAGAGAATCTATGAGTTGGAAGTAATCTATCAGCATTAAAAGTTAGCGTTTATCAAAAGAGAAGCTAAAACTTCCATAGGAATCATTATTGACTCACATCATGAGAATCACGGAAAAAATAGAAACAAAATAATGCGTTTCAGGACTATATTCAAAGTCAATTGAGAGAAAAACAGCTCGATCGTAGAAATTCGAACAATAATCTAGCAATGTGCATAAACAAATGATAGAAATTTGAATTGAAGTATGATTACCGAACCAGATGGAGATAAAACGGGATTAGAAGCGCCGAAGAGGTATTTGAAGAAGGCTTCGAGATTGAAACCCTTGCGATGGAAGATAGAAGGGGAATTCTGCGTAATAATTGCTTCAGCTTCCTCGATCGTAGCTTTCTCTTGTTTCTGAACCTCAATAAGGAAGCGTTGGAGGTGATCTGCGGTCATGAAATCGTTAGCTGAATACTTATTGAACAGGGACTTGATTCCGGTGGGAGGTTCGGCGGGGGGGATCTTGAAACGTCGTCTGAAACAGAGACATACTGTGAATGTTTGCTTGGACATGGGTGCATTGAATCACAGGGAATTGGGGAAAGGAATGGGAGATTTGGGGACGAAGGTTTTGCGGAAATGGAAAGTATATGCTAATTCTTGCGATGGGTATTGGAATCGATAGCAAAGCTATATTCCGGCAAGCTCACGAATAAGGATTGTTTGGGGGTGGCACGTCGACGGTTGTGATCGTTGAAGAATGTGTCTTTCTCATTTCTCAACCGATTTTGCAGGACCCACGGATTTATGTAGATACATATTTTGGTTTGGATGCATAAAATTGTTTTCGAATTTAGTAAGTATCGTGTAGATGGGATTAAAAATGTTAAAATATACAAATATCAATTGACTAGTTTTAGAAACCAAGGATGAAAAAAAAAATTAGAAACTAAGGATGACAAAAAAAAAAAAAAAATATGACTTGTAAAAATAATAAGCTTTTCGGTTTGTTTATATCTATTTTTTTTTTAAGTAACAATTATTTTGAAGGTGTTCATATATGATCATTATGATCTACTATAGTAGCAAGTTACATTCGATCATAATAATTATATGTGAAAAGTTTCAACAAGTTCGTTATATAGATTTGTATAAAAAAATAGTTACCAGATATGAACAAAATGAAAAATAAAAGTAAATTATACGAATGGTTCCTGTGGTTTGGGAGAATAGAATTTGTGTGTTTGATTCATAACTTTTTTTTTTTTTTTAAAACTCGGATGGTCTCTACTCTTTATTTTTGTTGCATGCTTGGCTGAAATTAGCATAGTTTTTCAATGATCTCATTCATCCAATCATATTTGAATTTAACTTCTAAAGTAGTTTATTCTTATTTTGTAGTAGATTGTGTCATTATGTTTTGCTTGGACTTCATTCCAACAAAAATTATCATCTATTCTATAATGAAGTCAAAATTCAATTATAATTCATAATTATTAATATTTGTTTAGAAATTAACATCTTGTGTAGCTCTTTCCATAAAGATCATTTCTAAATTGATTGTCTCATATACATTCTCTTAGTTCTTCTTAAGTACTCTTAGAATGTTTTCTTAATCATCCAGTGACTTAACCATGTATTCAATTAGTATCCTATGAGATGCTTACACCATGATCAAATACCATGTCATATGCATAATATGACATAAATGATGAATTTATTTGCCAAACGAATAGAATATAAATCATTTCATCTAGTTCAAGCCTATGAGTTATGTACTTTTAAGGCTAGCTCAATATGGTGTCATATAACAATGTCAAGAATTCTCTAAAAGAATCTTGTGTCTTGATCTCTTTCAAGATATTGCCAATATATGAATAAAGACATGAAACTTTTAAAATTCATTTTATCTATACCTTATAGATTTTACATTCCAAGAATGTATCTTCTCTTTCCTAAGTCTTTCATTTTAGAAACACTTTCTGAGTCAATGTGAAAGCGACCTTGCTTAATCAGAATGTGATTTCAAATGATTAAGTATGTCTCATTCTGTCACACCCCCGAACCAGACGGCGGAAACGTTCGGGGGCTGTCGTGACTCAATTGAATACCATCACAGTGAATATATATGAAACATAACATCAATCATTACCAATCATTTGAACATTACAACCGATAGAATTAACATCCATTACATCGTTACCAAAAATATTACATGCCCAAAAATAAAATTGTTTGTGGTAAATTAAACATTCGCAAAACATCACAGAGTAAAATTCCTTCTTCACTTTACTTGGTACCTGAGAATACAAGTATTTTGGAAAAACGTCAACATATGAAATGTTGGTGAGTTCATAAGTAATGTTTAAAATCCAATGTTTGTATTGTTTTGAAAACCACCAGAAAATCCGATATTTTCTGAAAATAATATAGCGTAAAAAAAATATGTGAAGATCCGTGAGTATGCTTGTTTGTTTTCTATAGATGTAAGCGTACGAGTTGTAAAATTCGGCATGTAGTTCGTATGTGTACTAGTTGAAAACCCTAGGAAAACCCGACGTTTTCCTATCACTTTGCTTTAATTAGTTTATGTGTTGTTGTTTTGTTACGTTAGAGGTATTCGTTGAGCTCCGGAGGCATTGGGTATACAGTGGGTTGTGAATTGTTGTAACGTACGTTAATGAAAACGTCCAGTAGACAACCGTACAAACGATCCCTTAGGCGTCGCTCGCACTTATTCACATAACCCAACCCTTCCGGACTTGTGTAGTCCCACGACCGAAGGAAAAAGGAGAAGGTGCGAAACCCTGAGTATTTCCCTACGTCGTTCAAGACCATAGCGAATGCGAAGGGCCCGAAGCCCAACTCGCAATCGTGAGTTCCCGACTTTACTAGCAGTACCGAAGGACCCTTGGGGACCAGCAGCATGTTTGCCATTGAAAGTCCTTTTACACGAGGTTAAGTCGTATTAGACCCAACTACATGTAAGCAAGTATCCTTTGGGCCTAAAGATCACGTCATCGGGCTAGCTAGGCCCAACAAGCATGATTTGAAACTTTTGGGCCTAAGGAAGGTACGTCGACGTATTGAGTAGTTCCACGAGAGTATAGAGTTCCGAGAGTTCCATGTGTGTATTGAGCGTCGTAGTGTTAGTGGTTTCGGATTTGTTACTGATTCGAGACCGAATCAATTCGTTTGATAACGATTGTTGGTGATATTGTGTATTGTAATTCATCGAGAGTCGTAGTGTCAGTATTTGTTCACAACGAGTGTATTGAATTATCATTGAAAATTTTCTGTTTACAACCCCTCTTTATTTTGTAAATTTACTTTTTCACCCCTTTAAGTAAATTAATTTCCGGTTTAGTCCTTAAACCATTTTTCTTGGCATTTTAACATCAAAACTTAATGAAATTGATATTTTTCAGCACCTTTTTAGTTGAAAACAGTTTTAGACCCTGAAAATACAACTTTCTCGGTTGTAGCCCCTTTATTTCGCAATTTTTACACTTTTGGCCCAAATTGGAAAATTTTTGCAACTTTGGTCCTTTTTCAACTATGGAAAGCATTTTTGACCTTTGAAAAGTACTTAGAACACTAATAACCCACTGTTTTACAGAAAAACAAGGTTCAGCCCCTCAAGTTTGGGTAATTTCGCATATTGGGCCCTATTGGGCCGAAAATGTCATTTTTAGCCCATTAAGCTTGAAATTTATGTTTTTAATCCTCCAAAAGAGTATATTTTCAGAAAATACATTATGGAAACTGTTTTGACTCATCTCACCCATCAGATTTCGAAATATTTCATTTTGGGCCCTTCAACTTTGTATTTTTGACATTTTATGTCTAAAAAATGAGTTTTTAGCCCAAAGTATGTGTTGTTAAGCCACTTAGCTATTTTTCTTGGTATACTTTGTATGTAGTAGTATATTTTATACTAGCATCATTTAATATAAAGTATATCTCGGTTTTTAGTGATTCATGACTAGATCTAACATCATAATTATACAAAACACACATATAAGCATAGAAATCATAAAAGGCATACACATAATGATAGATCTACACCTTTGCTTGTATTCTCCCCCACAAAAACTCATAAAAACCAAAAATAAGGGGGTATGAAGCTCACCTTAGGGGGTAGTTTTCGGTTCTTGAAGAAAAGATGGAAGAAAACTTGGTGATTTTCGACCCTAGCACCCCTTGATGAAGATCTCGAGTTTATGGAGTTCTAAGACACAAGTTTATGATTTCATGAGAGTTAAGAAGAGATTTTTGGATATAAGAAGAAGTCTAAAGTGTGGATCCAAGTTTCAACTTACCTAGATGATGATCTTTGTGGAAGAACTCCCTTGAATTCCTCTTAGATCTTCGAAAATTTGGAGAGAAATGGAGAGAGCTCCTTGAGAGAAAAGATGAGTGAAATGTTTGTGTGTGTGTTTGGGATTCGGCCGAGAGGGGGAAAGAGGAAAGAAGAGGGTGGCTTTGACAAGATAGATTCTTGGAAGTATGAGTTGCATGCATGGATATCCATTAAATAAAAGTGAGGTGGCAATCCAAAGTCAACTCCTCCGTATTCTTGGGCTTGGGCCGAGAATGGAGAGGGAAGAAAGAATTTTTGGGCTTTTTGCCCCTAAGCCCAATATTAGAGTTAGTTTGGGTGATCTTTGGCCTTATAAGATAAAATTGTGATTTTTATGCTTTATTAAGCTAGATTAGGTTAATTATGGATCAAAGCTTTTAATTCATTTCATTCTAGGCCCAAAATGACCCAAAATGTTGAATTAAATTAATGTGGGTCCAATTAGAGCCCACTTAAGGGTTCTAAGCCCATGATAGTCAAATTGGAAGCTTATTGGTCCATAGAGTCCAATAAGGAAGTCCTAGTCCAAAATGGACCTAATCAAGAACTTCTAGGGTTTCCAATTGCTTGATGTAGTGAATTGGGGTTTAGTTTTCCATTGAGTAAGCATCATACATGCTCTTGAGTTTTTGAATTCAACATTTACTGGAGTATAGTGATTACAAGACACAAAATTTCTAGTTGTGACACATTCATACAAGATTAGGAATGTCACTATGCTCCCACTAGTTCTTAGTAAACACACATGTTATATTCATTTTAATATAAAAACACACCTTGTGCTTTTACATAAAATGATGATTATAACGTTTAGATGTTTGCTTTATATCCTCAAGTGGATCTCAAGCTCTACACATTTTTTTAGGATAACATGGATTAAGAAAACCTCAAATCTAATCTATATAGATATCTTCTAATAGATGTCTATTAAGAAAAAGTGGTCTTTCTTGAAATCTATTTACTATATCTTATATTGAAAAATATGAATTTATAGTAAATTATATCCTTGTTGATCTAATCATAGTTACATGTGAAAAAGGTTTGATCACAGTCAATGTCATGAGTATGATGAGGACCATAGTCAATGCCATGAGTATGAGAAAATCATTTTACTACAAGTCCTGCTTTAAATGTGTGTGGTTATCCATGTAATTAATTATTTCTAGAAGAATCATTTACTCTTTCTAACCTTTGCTATAGCGATAAATTTTAATCAAGCCCATACTAGATTCTCATACATGGATTACATCTCATTATCATGACTCTAAGTCATTTACCAGATTTGAGATCTGACATAGCATCCTGGTATTTAATGTATTTTCCAGAAAACATCAACAAAAGCTCAGCAATGAGAGATTCCACATTTCTAAAGTCGTAGATGATTTCTACCATTAATGCGAATAATTTG